TTAATCGCAATAAAATAGGTAACCTCATTGTGGCGAAATGGAAAATACAATTTCTGTTTGCATGAGAAACTCCGCCTTCGGATCATCCGTACATCAATATTTAATCAACAAACATGACTATAAGCGGCAGTCCTAATTTAACGGTATATTTCCGCATTGTAACGGATGTTTTCATACAAATTTAATCTATTTACAAGATTATTACTTTTACTGAACCCCAAGTTTAGTGCATCGTGAAGCTTTAACGGTTAAATTGTGTTTGCACAAGAAAATATCACATTTGCTATGTTCCGGATAGCAACTAAAAAACTGTGACGTAGTGCATACACGAGCTCATTATAGTCTTCATTTGCATGTTAAAATTCGTATACGAACTGTAGTGGTACCGTGGGGTTTCCCGTTTAAAATCCTAATTTATGAACAATATTTGATGAGATTTTTACAACAATACTATTAAACAGGTTAATGAAACTGTAGAATGTTTGATTTTTAGGCCGACGGCAAAATATTTTTACATATTTATTTAATGTAACTTTAAAAGAAGATTTTTTAAGTTTTTACTATTTGCATATAGGGAAAATCAAAGACCCCCTGGGGCGGAGCCAATTTTGACCCCAGGGCTTTTATTTGAACAAACTTGGTAGACACTCATTAGAAGATGTTTAATGCCAGATATCTAAGCTCTAGCTCTTAGGGTTTTTAAAAAGAAGATATTTAAAGTTTTTTCTTTCGGTTGCCATGGCAACCAGAGTTCTGCATGGAATTAAATTCTTTGAACAATTTTTAAAGGTGACCACCAAAGGAATATTCCTGTGAAGTTTGGATGAAATTGGCTTAGTGGTTTATGAGGAGATGTCATTTAAAGTAAAAGTTTACGGACGGACGGAAAGCTATCAAAAAAGCTCACCCTGTCACTTTGTGACAGGTGAGCTTAAAACATTAAACACCCGTGCCATACATATGCACGATACCTTGCTAATTGCTAACAATTCTCGCGTAATTGATTACCTTTTGTCAATATCATAATTATGAAATATTTGGATTGCTTTTGATGAAATATACAATGTATACGCAACAAACATTTATTGAAAAAGTACACAATGATTAATGAAAGATAATAAATTAATAAAATAATATAATATGATAAAACTGTTTTGATAATCCCCGTTGCGCCGAAATGTGTCCATTTCGCTATAATTTTAATATCTTTTACAATATCCTATTTTCAACATTTTCTAAAATAATAAAGTTTAAAATGTTATTATTGAAAAATTTATGCTGTTAAAATTATTCAGCAGAGTAAACAGTAATAGATATAAGTGTATATGATTAAACATAGAAGTGGTGAGAGCAATAAGAAGAAGTAGTGAAAGATTGTCATAAGAAGAGGGCCTTAAAAAGGGCTAAATGGCCCTTTCATCAGAGCCCAGAATCATCCTACAGGTATCCTACAGGTAAAGGAAAGTAAATCATTTTTAAAAGACTGTTACTTATTATTCTCAAATTCTTAAGTTATGTTCAAACATAAGATCTACCCGTTATGCAAATCTTCATTTTCCGTTGCCCCGAAATTATGCCCATTTCGCCGTCCATTTAGAATCTGATATATTTAGTACGCTACCTAATAAAATCAAACTTATACAGTATATGTAAAAATTATGTATCAAATATCAACAATACCAACTTATATGATTATTTTATGTTTTAGACATAAAAAACAGTACACAGTTTTGAAAATAAAATCTCCGTTTCGCAATAATCCATCGGCGCAACGGAGTTTATGAAAGGTATAACAACAATAACAATGAATGTTTATAATAAAAAAAAACATAACATTGATTTTGTAATATCAATATGACTTTATTTAGTATATACTAATGCAAATTCAATTAAAAGTACTTTGTTTGCTAGTTTTGAAAAAAATAAATCTCCGTTGCGCCAATGAATTTTTGCGCAACGGAGATATGAGCGGTATTACAACAATACAATGCTTATAATATAGAAAATATTGTTTTTAGATGATTTCTATAAATTCAAAATATTATTTTTATTCAGCACATACTAATATAAATTTAACAAGAGCTGTCCGTAAGACAGCGCGCTCGACTTTTTTATTGCTTGCCAATAAAAAAAGTTTTTGCAGTAAAAGGCAATACAAGAATCTCTGTATTTTTAAAGTGAACAATGGCCATGAGCATTAAGATATTTAGTGAAGAATTATTTTACTGAATTGTGTGAAAAATAACTAGTTGTTTGATACCCTTGAATATTACAGCAATGTTTATATGACATAATTTATGGTAAAGTGAACAAGTGGATAGGAATGAATTTTTTTAGATTTTTTAAGTTTTTTAGTGCTTGCCTATAATACAAAACATTGACAGTTAAGGGCCATAATTCAAATAAAATCTTTGACAGAATTACCTTCTCCTGGACATGTTTGGGAATCATGATTGTAAACAAGTATTCCAACTTTCAAATTAATATCTCAAACAGTTCAGTCAAAAAGTGGACTGGTACTAAAAACTTAACCAAGATTCTAAGTCGATAAAAGGCCTTAATTTTTAAAACAAATCCTTGACAGAGTTACCTTCTCTTGCGTACAGATGGGGGTAATGATGTGAAATAGCATTAAAAGTTTCAAAGCAATATCTCAAAGGGTTAAGGCAATAAGTGGATTTTACCCATATTCAATGTATTTTCTAAGTCAAAAAGGGGCATAATTCTGTCAAAAACCTTGACAGAGTTATGTCCTCTTGTCTGTTGATGAAGGTCGTGATGGTAAACAAGTATGGTCAGTTTCAAAGCAATACCTCCAATGGTTTTGAAATAAAGTGAGGTGGTACAAAAAACTTAACCAAGCTCAATACACTTTCTAAGTCAAAAAAGGGCCATAATTCTGTCAAAAACCTTGACAGAGTTATGTACTCTTGTCTGTAGATGGAGGTTATGATGGTGAACAAGTATGGTAAGTTTCAAAGCCATACTTGTAATACTTCTGAAATAAAGTGGGGTGGTACGAAAAACTTAACCAAGGTGTGACGCCAACGCCGACGCCGACGCCGACGCCGGGGCGAGTAGGATAGCTCCCCTTTTCATAGAAAAGTCGAGCTAAAAATGCATTGCTAATCGTATTTTATTGCCACATTTTAAATTTTGCACTTCGTTGCGCCCGTTGCGCCAAAAAATCTCCGTTGCATATTTTAGTGGTACCGCAAATTGGTCTACAATGAAGGTCAGAAATTTTGGGTTAAATACATGAACTTGTGCTTTATAACCCAAATTGGTTAGAGAAGGTAGGGTGAAAAATAAAGAAATAACTCTTAGAAAATAGAAAAAACCAAATAGATCACAAAACGAGGGGTAATTACCCAATATACACAAAATGTTATCTGTTAAGCCCTGGTTCAACAACTTTTATTTTTAGCCCGAAAGTTCAACAGTGAATTAACATTTTTAAAGTCTACGTCAGATGTGAAATATACAATAATTTGGACAAGTTTTACCATGGAGTTGAATAGACTGGAGAAGCAACTTGTGACGTCACACAGTTAAATTCAGCATAGATGCAAAGCGTTTCTCGTAAGTTATCATATGTCGTGGGATTTTCCGAGATTTAATGCATCCTGGGAAAAAGTAGTCGTAACACCGCCATATTGATTTCACGGCGATACACCGACAATAAAAGCGGATCATTTTCTTCTAATTTATGAAGCAATAGTTAACGATGAAGTTAAAGGTGGGTAGAAATTGATTGTAAAGAAAGTTTGGATAAGTCATGTTAGCTTGTTTTGAAGGAATTTAGTATTTTTAGGTGAAAATCTTGTTGGAAAAATACTGTGCCGTACAGCGGTATATTGACAATCCTGCGAGAGCGGTCAATTTTAATTTGTTAAGGATCTTTAACTGTTATATCAATACGTATAATTCTTGCATTTTCTTATGTATTAAAGATTTCTTAATTGAAATATGATGTTTGTTTAACTTCGTTTTTTGTTTTGATGTGAGTTTTTTCGAGTTTTTTTGAAGCGTATTTTCTAGTCTGAACAGAGTTTAATACAGTATTTTCGGACATGTTTTTTTTCGGACAATTATAAGGTATTATCTGTTCATGGCCATAATTTATTTTCCTCGTCTTTTTTTTTGAACTAGGAGCTCTCAAAATTATTAAAATGCTTAATTGTTAACAACAATTTATGTTTAAGTAATTTAAAATACGTTGATGTTTTTGTTTTTTTGGCAATAAAAAAAAAAGAGTTCTTCTTCTTGGTGCCCTACTTGGGTGTGTTGGAGGTTGTGTCTTGTGAACGTTACCTTTACCTTGTTGATCTTTATGCTTGTATATTTATACAATACATACCAAACACAGGAAGTGTCATTATGACAGGAAATAATGTCTAATACTATTGACTTTGAAATATGTTATATCCTGTGTATATTCATGGAGTTGATATTGTAGTATTTTTTATATTTACTGTTTACATTGTTCAGGTGGGCTTAGAATTTTCTTCTATTTATAATAATATGTATTTTGCATTTCAATATTTACAGATGCCACGAAAAAAAGGATGGTTCCATGCTAAGAGAAAGGCAGGAGAGCAGAGAGCTGTGCAAGCCATTGGCAATTATGACCATGAGTACTGTTCATTACCAAAGAGAACCACTTGTTTAAAATAAATAATGTATAAGTCTGTGATAGAGGCAAACAGAAACATTTTGTTGATGTAAACAGTAGTTTTTGTCATACATTTTACACTTATACAAACACATATTTGTTAAGTGATCATATAAAGTTCAAACAAATGAATGTATGTATATCTGTGGTTTTACAAATTAATAGAACTGAATAATGATAAATCTATAAAATCGCGAAAATACATGACACTGAAACTATTACGTATCTGTCTGACAGTTAAGCCTATAAAATAATCAACTCGTTACATTAAACAGATATTCAAAGAAACCTAAATGATATTAACATTTTTACTGTTTGAAATTACCTGTCTGGTCCTTCATTCAAATGATTTTCATGCAAAGTTTTGAATCGTGTGGAGTTGCAAATGGTTTACATATTAAAGGGAAGTAACGTACATAAATTCGTACTACATATTTTCGTACCTAATCTGCAAAAACTAGGTAAAGAAGGCCAAGATGGCCTTTATATATCTCACCTGATAATGCAGACTCAATACCATTTTATTTCGTCTGCGTGACCGAATTTTTGACCACAGAAGACCAGCATATTCAAATTTAATATAGAAATTATCAAAACAACCTTTCTGACCAATTTCAAGCATATTTGGATCAAAACTGTAGCCTCTTAGTCTAGAGTGTGAACACGTTTTATTTCCATATTTGGGTTATGAACAGAACAGAAATTTTATTTCGTAACGTATACAATACACTGCAGTGGCGGATTCAGGCCCGGGCTGCAGGGCTACAGCCCCCCCCCCCTCGGCCAAAAGATACGTTTACCAGCTGGGCTGGAATATATTTTGGTCAGTTTCAAACTTTAATCTGTCATCCAGTTGTTAATCTCCTGCCTGGGGGGCTTGGCAGATCTTTATCTATCAACATGCTTGAATGACTTCAATGTTTAAGCTGCATAATTGATTGGTTTATTACTTTCCAAAGGTCTAAATTAATATCACAGATAGTGGCATTAGATGTGTTACATTGTACACTATCCTTTACTATCTTTGTTTTTCCATTTTCTTTGCGAAAGCCCTAGCTATAATTAAGAAATTGAAAATTATTATTTGTAAATTAAAAATATTGGCGAGTTTTATGAAGATAATATTAAAGGAATCGCATTTTTATAGTTTTACTAAGATGAAATGATTGATATAACTTTTTACGACAGTTATATTTTCAAAATAAAATTTAAATTGTACTGACCTCTGGATTCATTGATGAAAAAAAAAATTCTTTTGAATATTAGTGTTTCAAATTTTTTTTTTGGACACTAGAGAGGCAATTTTATACCAGTTTAATTATTCATATCATTATATACTACATGAACACATGTCAAAAATGATAATTTTCATCTTTAAAAAGTGAGTTTTAGGTGCTAAAGTAAACTTAAATAATTCAGCTTGCCTTACATCTTGTATTACGTGTCAAAAACTAATTCATAGTCCATTTTTCATAGCCTTTTGCTTAAAAGCTGACCAGTAGTTTTGAGTAAACTTGGCGATCCGGAATATGGGGATATAGTCATAACAGTATACTTGAAAAGGTACAATTGAAATATCTTAAACATATATTAAACTTAACTACTTAAGAGATACAGGTTTGTATTGCATGAAGATCTTATCAATCAAAAGTAATCGATTTGCAATACATAGTTGCAGTTCCTTGTCAGTCTGTTTGTACGAAGTTCTGTCATGGTCTACATTGTTCCAGTCACTACGTGTTTTTGGAAATTTCCATAAAAATGACGGATTGAAATATTGACAAGTCCATTTAGGATATCAGCGCGACAATGAGTATACAGGTGAGACACAGCGATTATATACATGAACAGTGAATGATGTTTTAAGTCAGTTCGTTGGGCCTTAATATATATGATCTAAAACACAGTATATAAACAAAATCACTGTACCCTGTCTTGTGAGCCTATGTAATTCAATATATAACCATGTCTTGCGAGTAAAAGCATATGTTACTTCCGATCACTGTATCTTACTTGGGAGCCTATATATTTTAACTTGCATCTTACTTGCGATAACATGAAGTAGGTTTGTTTATATACTGTGAAAAGTGCTGGTCATCATTATTTTAAAAAAATATTTAAACAGAATCGCTCAGGGAAATGAGCTTTATGTGAGTCTTATAAGAATTCCAAGGTATTCTCGTTAATGTACCAGCCAAATGCAACATTGGTTCCATTCCACAGGGGTCAGGGATGTCGGTAACAGCGGGGAAACTAGCTTAGTATTTTCATCCCACCTGTCCCCGCACTTCCGGGTTAATAAGGCGGTTTTATTTTGAAGCTGAATATATCTAACTAGCGTTATATGGGGCATTTGAAGCGTATCTGTATTCATTGAAAAAGTCAACGCCCATTACACATGTTTAACATTAAAACTAACATCAACTTAGGTTATTAATTAGAAGCAGGGCAATTAATCACATACTAAGATACATGTTCTGCAGGCAATTCCCTACCTTACCTGTGATTTACAAACCGAGACAACACCTGCGGAAGGTATATAGTAGTTCATAATCCACTAACACGCGGGTCTTTTTTCTAAACAAATCAAACTTGAATTGCCTTGTAGTTTTAGAAACTATATAATAGTTTTTATTGTTTATAATAATTTATTGTTTATAAGAATAGTGATATAAGTTAAGCTCCACTTATCGGATGTCTTCTTTTAGTAATACAATTTTTCCATTGCAGAAGACGAATTTGTAAAAAGAACGTCGGCTTGTTTCTGTCAACCTGGGAAAGACAATGTACGTACCCACGGCCTTTTCTACAACAACAACAACAACAACAAACACTAAAAACCTACTGGGTAATGACAAAGTATAACAAATTGTAAACTAGGTAGCATTTTGACTTTCATACAATAATATCAAATGATTTTATATTCAGTGCTACTAACATGCTCTAAAATAATTGTTTTATCATTTTGAAACTCATGTTTGCTCTTTCAAAAGATGTAAAACATATATATTCGTTTTCGGGTCATTATGTGCCTTTAAGTTTCCATTTTTCGTGACCTTTTCGTTGTCATAATCTATGTCGGTTAGAACTCGCATAGAAATTTTCTGCAAACATAGTAAAGGTCTACTGATTTCCTGGTGGTTTTTGATTTTTTGTAAATAAAATTTTGTAAAGTACATTTATGTGTCATAAGAATTATATTAAATAGTAAAATATGATGATAAAAAATAACTTTGTTGATTACTTACCTTTTCCATCATAATCCTGTTAATGGATATTTATTCTGTTCTGATCTGTTCTGTTCTGTTCTGTTCTGTTCTGACCTGACCTGTTCTGATCTGATCTGTTCTGATCTGATCTGTTCTGTTCTAGTCTGTGCAGCCAATCTGCACATCCGTTACGCATGGATTAAGGTGATGTCACCATTTACATTTACTAAAAGAAACTAAAACATCCCATTGTTGCTAGAAGAAATAAGTATGTAATATTTAAAGGATGTCAACTGGGAGCAGACATTAAAAAGTAAAGGTCATAAAATACATGTATATAAACCATATGTTTTGAATAATTCTAACTTAAAATTTGAAATTGTATATTGCTAGTTTTCGAACTGCTCCGGGTATCGGTGACAGAATGAAAAAAATCAAATGACTGAATGAGCAATCGACCAATCAATCAATCGATCGATCAATCAATCAATCAATCAATCAATTTGAATTAACAATCGATAAATCATCAACTTAAACATCAATCAATCAAACAACCACAGCAGCCAAAAATCAATCAATCAATCAAATAAACGATACCTCAATTCATTCATTCATTCATTCATTTATCTATTTATTCCTTCATTCATTCACTCAGTCATTCAATCAATTAATCAATTAATTAGTCAGTCAGACAGTCAGTAAGTTAAACAACCAACCAACAAACAGAGCAAAATCATATCAACTCATCAATAAAAAAATTAATAGATCATTCAATGTTTATCAATCAATCAATCAATCAATCAATCAATCAATCAATCAATCAATTAGTAGATAGGTTAACCACAGCATCCCAATAATAATGACCTGTTCGGATCATTAACGAAAGCTGATGCTTTTGCTTAAAATAGCAAGTTTTACAAAAATTACAACTTGGTTAATTTTTCACCCGTCATGAAAAAAAAACAATACCCGTGAGTGAAATCTCTTTAAATCAATGTAGAGGTCATAGGGGGGTGGGGGTGGAGCATACTAGTTTACTGCATGGGATGTCTCATGTACGTCTCCGTGCATTATTTCAGGAATTTGTACGTCCCGTATATTAGTGTATTATTTTGCAGTGTGAACTAATTAAACTTATCATATTCAGATGCTCGTTCATTGGTTACTTTTTTCTGGGGTTTCATATTGTGACAACAGGGAACATGTTTTTATGTTTGACTATGATACAAAAGAGAAAGAACATCAAAATACTCTGCAATCTGATTAATACTCGGGGCTACGCCCCCACCTCGTACAAATCAGATAGCCTCGTGTTTCGATGCTCTTTCTATTACATTGTACATTGATTATGGAACGAACACTGTGAAATAATAAACATGAACAAAATAGAATGCCCTAAAAACTAGTACATGTAATCGAAAATAAGATGAAATATAATTTATACGCACTTAAAACTTAGCCATTCAAAACTTTAGGGCCACTCATTTTCAGCCGATAGAAATTGTCCCGCATGCAATGAACCAGAAACGTTTGAATATGTGTTCTATTGCGTGTGTCAATCAGTTCAACGCAAAGAATTGGAATCATGCATGCATACAAAAAGTATCAATGAATGAAAAATATTCTTGGATCCGCCGTTTGAATTAGCTGGTGAATCAAATTCATAAAAGATGTACAATTTACAAATGAAATTTAATTTACTGTGGATATAATCAAATAAAGTATCACATAAAAGATCGCCACTCTATAAAAGGAATGAAATGCCCAGGAATTGTCTATGAGTGTGGAACTAGGCAAGGCAAGCTTTAGTAAGCAACTGCCCCACACGTATAGGCATACCTTTGGACAGGCACGCTAAGTTGGCACAACTGTGGTTTAGCTAATGCTGCTCAGAACATATGAGCCGCGTCACGACAAAACCAACATAGTGCGTTTGCGACCAGCATGGATCCAGACCAGCCTGCGCATCCGATTTGGAAAGACCCTGCTTGAACTTAGAATTTTTATGAAAAAATGTTGTCTTTTTTAAATAACTTCTTTATTTCTTAATATAAACAAATGTATAAACTTCATATGTATGTTTCTTAATTATCACTCAACATTTTTGAGAAGGTAAAATACTCTAGCAAGACTATTTTCAGAATTATGTCCCCCTTGAACTTAGATTTTTTTTCGAGAAATTGGTATTGTTTACTCCAACATCTTCATTCCTTTAAACTTAAAGTAAAACTCACATCATATAGACCCTTTCATTTAAGCGATAACAGTCAGGGAAGAGTTACTTCCCTTACCGGATGTGACGTAAATGGGGGATAAAACTAAGCAGGCCGCATAGAATGTTAGCTTATTGAAAAGTTAAATTTGTAAATACTGATCGTTCAATAATGATTATAACATGTAAACATTTACGCATGCATACATAAATTCAATATCAAGAAAATAGAAAAAGATACATAAACAAAGATTGAGATTAATTCTTGCTACGGAGTGAAACAGCGAAATTTCAAAGTGAATACTGTAGTACTGTATATTTATTAGATCTAGATTT